TTGGTGCTAGGTCCTGCTGCATCTAGATCTGGTTCCAGGCTCTGTTGGGGATTTTGCCTGGGAGCCTCCTCCATGTTGGAAGCCATCTTTCTACCTGATCCTAGCCATCCTGATCCTAGCCATAGGAACCACTTTGCTCATAGGAATTGCTGGTGAGCCGGAAAGAGGTGAACTGACATTAATGCATTGAAGAACGTGGATGAATGATTGAGTTGAATTGAACTCAGTTGAGTTGAACTCAAATTGAATTCACGTGAATTGAATTGAATTGAATTGCATGAAATTAACAAAACGAAACTGAACATGAAATGAAATGAAATGAAATATGAGTGAGTGACTGAGTGAGTGAGTGACTGGCTGACTGACTGAATGAATGAATGAACGAATGAACGAATGAACGAATGAACGAATGAACGAATGAACGAATGAGTGAGTGAGTGAATGAATGAATGAATGAATGAATGAACGAGTGAACGGGTGAACGAGTGAATGAGTGAATGAACGAATGAACGAATGAACGAATGAACGATGAACGAATGAACGAATGAATGAATCAATCAATCAACCAATCAATCAACCAATCAAGCAATCAGTCAATCAGTCAATCAATGAAATTTGCCGACCTCATCTTTCAGTCTTTTTTACGAAGTTTATGTGAAATCGAGCACCTAAAGTGCTCGGAGACTGATCGTTTTTAACATTTTCAAGTGCAAATCGAGCTCTCGCTACAGTCTCGTGCACATTTTGCCAACCTCACCTTCCAAAAGTGGTCGTTGCACTTCCCAACTACTTGATGATGATGTGGTTGACATGATGATGTGGTTAACATGATGGCGAGAATGCTGTCCATGACCATCGTCCGTAACTCGGAAGTTTTCTAACTAAATTAACTAAACTTCCTTTGATAAAGAAAGTGAAATGGCACAAAAAGTGCAGGCGCCAAGACTCTCTCATTTAAGAACGGGGCTTACAGCCGATGATACTTCACATCTCCCATGAGCAATCCAAATGCTCCACCGGCTTTACCACTCTTTTCTTTCACTTCTGCTCCGACTGTGAGTGTCGGGTTCCGCGTCCACCCTTTGTCAGCTTGGCTGACATCAAAGAACGGACACAATTAGACACAAACGCAGGGCATGCAGAACTCAGATCGTTAAAGTTCTTGAAAACAATGAAAAAAACCTTTGTGAAGCTTCGTCAATGTCAATGTTTCTGCATGACACTGCACCAAGGCCCCGTTCAGGGCACAGGAATGCGCGGAGTATTTGGAACTTTGATGCCTACAGATCAAAATCACTGCAAACAAGTGCAGTGTAAATACGGCACATCCCAGGTAGTCATAGCGCGCACCCTTATCTGCATGCCTGATCGCATAAATAACATATGAATTATGAGGCTTGGAGGTTCCAAACGCCAAACTCCGCGAGGATTGCTTGTGAGGTCAAATGAGGCTGTACTTTCACAACTCCCGAGTGAACTCAGTGAAGTCACCTCTTGAGTGAATATAGCTAAGAACTGTTGCTACTGTCACTGTAGGATTTGGGAGGAGCTTGTGTCATATTTTGTCCAAGATTGAGCATTCATTGGCATTCAACATAATGCTTATTCAGAATGCCATTGCAGTAGCAGCACTATGCCAATGCCATCAAACCAATATGATGCATGTCTACTTTTTGCATGATGCCACATGTAGTCATATCGGGCGGGGCACTACGAAGCTTTGTCGCGCCCTCGTGTTGCCATTAGATATTTAAACTTCTCAGCTTCAGCCCGGCAGCCACAGAACCTCTTCGCCTTGGGGTCCCAGTCATGCCCTGCATTGAAACTGGAAACATCATCGCAACTTTTGCGGTGATTGAATATTATATAAACTAACCAATTGCATCCAGTTGCAACATACACTACCGGTACGACTGGTTTAAAAAGTCCCCTCATTGCAGCTCTATTACTCATGAAGATAAAATCGCGGCAAGTATGTCAATATTTATTCCCACCAAAATCTCAAACAAAACCCTTCCGGGCACCAACTGCGAAATTACTTTCACGAATTGTTTTGTGTTTTCGGCAGTATTCGCGCTCAGAATCTGATGACCCACGAGCTGGCTTAGCATATTGAAACCATTTGAAACCATTCATCAAACAAGTTGGGTTCCTGACCTTGTCGCATCGAATGTCTCCTTCTTCTCCTCCCACATGGGAAGAACCACTGTGAGACACCGAGCCTTAGCGCTGAGAGCAGGTCGTAATTACGGTTGCGACCTTCTCAAAGCTGGCACATGTACCAAAGCAGCTGAACAAGAACAAATATATGTAGACACACCTGCGTTTTCAATAGACTGCGGCACAAAGAAAGGACGTCATGCATCATCTCAAATTAACTGCCTTTCCCGCCTACTGTCAGGAGAAAACCGGGTATCATCTCAACATGTTTTAACCATATGTCAGTGCTAAGGAGCCGAGGAGTACCTCAGGGGCAGCAGCTCTTTCTGGTAGCCAGGGGCTTCATACCTGGAAAGAGCTGGAAAGTAGACGGATGGGCGAGATGAAATCAAATGCCAACTGCTTGGGACTTAAGGTATGAAGATCTCTTTTATGCCTAGTTTTGCCAAAGTGCTGCAACAAACATGCACAACAAATACATGCACACGCATATGCCTATGTACATAGATAAATGGATGGATGGATGGACGGACCGCCCGAATCCGCCCGATGGATGGATAGAAATAAATAAATAAAAAGAAATGAAAAAACATCAATGAACAAATTAAAAAACAGATAAGTAAATAAATAGGCAAAAAAGGAAAGAAAGAAAAGAAAGAAAGAAAGAAAGGAAAGAAAGAAAGAAAGACATATATATATATATGTGGTTTTTGATCAAAATTCCTTTTTCCGGGAACGGCCATTCTTCGCGAATAAAAATGTTTTTTTTCGCGAAACTTTGGCGAACTCCATGTTTATCTTTCGCGGGGCCCATGTTGGCCAACAACACCTCTTATGAAGATTCACTCGCCACCTGCCAAATTACGCCAGAGAATCACGGATCGCTTCTTGATAGCATCACGGAATCCCTTCTCAGGGCAGATTGTTGCTGACTAGGTTTTTTTGGCAAGGTTTACTGGCCCGCACCCTTCAACATGTACTTTGACTTTCGCCCGCTCTTTCGCATAACTTGCGCGGAACTTTCGCGAAAATATCCCTATTATTCACAGACCCCGGCCATCAGCAGGGGGTGCATTGAAGGAAAAGCGAACACCAGGGGCCTTGGTGTTTGGCTCTCGCAAAGCCTCACTTTTGGAAACTTGGCTACTGCATTTGGAGCTTGTTTCTTGGGACTTCAAAAAGCATCATTAGGCAGTGACAACGGCAGGTGCAAGGATGTGCTTCAGGACCATGGCGTTTGGCTGTCGCGAAGCCTCGCCTTTGGAAGCTCGGCTGCTACCTATGAAGGGTGTGATTGTCCATAAGCACCACCACACAGGGAACTGAACCAGAAACAAGCCGAAATTCTCTAGTGCCCTTCTCCTGCCGGACCCCGGGCGGCAGTGGGTGGCAGCCCTTTACATAATGATTATAACAATATCCAACTTTCACGAAACTTTCGCGAAAAACATGTTACTTTCGCGAACTCGAAAAAAAACTCCTGCGAGGGTTTCCAACATAACATGCACGGCTTTCGCAATTAAAACTCCTTACAAGGACCTTTAGATCGATCACCATGTATATATGCATAACACTGCATAATTCTGCATATAGATTTTTTTAAGTAGATGGACAGACAGATAGACGGAGAAAAAGATGGAAAAATGAATAAACCAATCGATAGACAAACAAACAAACGAAGGAACGAACAAACAAACAGGTTAGATTTGCATAGTTTAGATTCGATTGGACTAGATTTAGATTACGTAGCATATATTAGATTGGATAGATCGATCGACGCACACACGCACACACGGACAAATGGACGGACAAACAGATAGACAGGCAAGTACATGGAGATATGCCACCATATATGCATATAAAAGGTTTAGCGTAGAACTACACGGTAGCGGCGCTGAGAGGCACCTGGTAACCCCAAGGCTCTTGCTTTCATCCCCCCCTGTAAACGCACATCGATGTTGGAAGCGCCCTTTTTCTCATTGCCAAAAACTGCTTTGATCCGTAGAAACCCAGGTCTGATTGTGAAACAATTTGCTGACGGCGACCAACTTCCGCAAATTCTTGCGGCATAGATCAATAGCGCCGCATCACTTCTGATGGCACATGTCGAAGCAAAGACCAATAGCGTAGCATCACTTCTGATGGCAAGTGTCAAAGCAAAGGTCAATAGCGCAGCATCACTTCTGATGGCAAGCGCCGAAGCAAAGATCAATACAATAGCATTAGAATAATTTCCGGCCCAAGTCGAAAAGCAATGCAAAGGTCAATGGGGTAGCATCACTTCAGATGGCAAATTGAAAAACAAAGATCACTAGCGTAGCATCACTTCTGATGGCAAGTGTAGAAGCAAAGATCAATAGCACAGCGTCACTTCTGAACTCAGCAGACATTGAACGTTATTAGCCGCACCCCTCCCCACCCCTCGACCCCTCCACCCACCCACCTCACGCACCCCAGCGACCATGACACAGGAGAAGCACGCAGTGCAAAAGACGCATGTGAAGAAGGCCACATGGGTAAAAAAACACAGGAAAACGCCCGGGCACACTGCAGCGCTGCAGTTGGCAACTACACACACACACTTATTGTTGCACTCTAGATCCAATGTCACTCCAACTTCTGGGCTTCTATGGTTGTACATACAAAGGCCTTGGACTGGTCAAAGCACGAAGATGTGTCAGCTTGTAGGCTGTTTAATCACCATGAAAAATGCAGTGACGGGAGGACGGGATATATTTAACACAAAAACGTACAAACGCCACATACATCACTACACAAGCATAGATAGAGAGAACGATAGATAGAGAGAATACTTATTCTGATTGAAAAACATTGACAGCGTAATCTTTGTGGTTTGGAGCTCATCTGTTCTATGAAATGCTGGGCCCAAGCCATGGGGATGGATGGATAGATAGATAGCTAGATAGATAGATTAGGTATGTATGTAGGTAGGTAGGTAGGTAGGTAGATAGAGAGAGAGAGATAGATAGATAGATAGAGATAGAGAGAGATAGAAAGATAGAAAGATAGAAAGATAGAAAGATAGAAAGATAGATCGATAGATAGACAGATAGACAGATAGAAAGATAGATCGATAGATAGACAGATAGACAGATAGACAGATAGACAGATAGACAAATAGACAGATAGACAGACAGACAGACAGACAGATAGATAGATAGATAGTTAGAGAGATAGAGAGATAGAGAGATAGAGAGATAGAGAGATAGAGAGAGAGATAGAGAGATAGAGAGAGAGAGAGATAGAGAGAGACAGAGAGATAGAGAGATACAGAGACAGAGAGATAGAGAGATGAAAAGAGAGAGAGAGAGAGATAAGAAAGAAAGAAAGAAAGAAAGAAAGAAAGAAAGCACGAAAGAAAGAAAGAAGGAAAGAAAGAAAGAAAGAAAGAAAGATAGATAGATAAATAGATAGGTAGAGAGATAGAGAGAGAGAGAGAGAGAGATTGCTAGATAGAGGTAGAGAGATAGAGGGATAGAGAGATAAAAAGATAGAGAGAGAGATATATATATAAGATAGATAGATAGATAGATAGATAGATAGAGAGAGATATATATATATAAGATAGATAGATAGATAGATAGATAGATAGATAGATAGACAGATAGATAGATAGGTAGATAGGTAGATAGATAGACTGGGCAGGTGGCGTCGCAGCTGATGCTACCTGATCGCAACAACTGAATGGCGGAGCATGCGAATTTTCACTCACCGAAGCTCCAGCATTGGAACTGTTCCTTTCCTTGTCGGATGGATTGGAGCTAGGAGGAGGTTGCATGTGCGCCGTTAACTTCTCAACCAAATCTTTTTCGATTTTGCCAATGATAGGGTGGAAGTCCTCCATCGACATTATTTGCAAATCTGGGTGGGTTGGTCACGGCGGAATCCCAGCACCATGGTAGAGACATCTGCGGACAGTGCATTGCCCACGAAGCACCCTGCTGCATCTCGATGTTCATCACTTGCGGTGACTTCATCCAAACCCAAAGCAGTGTTTAGAGGGATCCGCTTCATCAAGCAGGCACCGCCACTCTGAGCCAACGAGTATGTATATAAAGTCCATGCGAAAGATGATACGCATCAGTTTCTAGGCCTTGGCGTTTGGCCAACATGAGGCTATACCCGATGCAAGAAATGAGTTCGCGATCTGCCATGGAAACAAAGCTGAATGAATTAGGAAAATTCTACCCTTCAGGGTCTCGCAACCAAATGACTTGAGCCGAAAGACCCTGGAGGTAAAATTTTCCTAATTCATTCAGCTTTGATTCCATGGCAGATCGCAAACTGATTTCTTGCGTTGGGCATAGCCTCAGGTTGGCCAACATAGACATATATATATAACTATAATAATATATATATATATAATATTGTAATTTGCATATGCGCAGTTAAATGATGCATCATACCAATCAATTTAAGATCCATTTCAATTTCATAATGATATCAAATCAAACTAGTTACTAGTTGAAGAAAGGCAGCTAGGCAAATCCACCAGGGATCGTAAGCTAGTCCACAAATATCAAAGAGCCCGCACTACCTCTGCAAATTGGGGCACCATGAGAGCAAGTCAGATCTTGTTCGCCAGCAGGAGGCACAAGCAACCTGCGCACGGCAAAACTCATTGGGAGTCATAGGCCACATGTATCTGAGCCAGCATAGACCATAAGCCTCGGGAGTTGGGTGATGTTTACTCTTTTTTTGGGGGGTTATGCTTTGGTGATAATCATTGAGGAACTATGCAATGCTCACCGGGGGCATGGAGGGTCTGATTTACGCACCTGCACTGGGAACTCGTTGATCAGCACTCCACTTATTCCTGATGGTAGCAAAAAAATGCAGAAAAACACAAGAAGCCTCCGCGGCACCTACAGATCCTACGGTACTGTGTAGTCTGCTTGCCTTCTGCGAAGAGAAGATTGCACATGGCGCCGATATCTTTAGGGGCCTTGTCAATGTGCATGACGCAGGACTGTGTTTGACGATGGCCAAGTGAATGTCAAAGACACTCAAAAGTGTGGGAAAATAAGTACAAATGGCTTTCAAATGAAACAACCGGTGCATCCTTGGATTGCAGCAAAGAATTGTTGCATTGCATCATCACGGCCTTGATGGCTTTACTCTTGTACGAGTCGACATATCGTTGCATCCTGGAGGCTTCGTAGCTCAAGGGGAAAAGGGCATTATAGGCTGCCCACTGCAGCAGTCCGCAGCAAACCCGCCCATGCATCCCCATGCAACACTTGCCCAAAGGCACTGCTAGTGGCAGCTGAGGCTTTTGCGGCTTGAAGGAGTCCATCTGCACTATCTCCAACAAGAGCA